GCGGTTCATCTGTTCATTTATAAATTCAATATTAAGAGAGATTGTGTGTGTGTGTGTAGCTCTGATAGATGTGCAGGGGGGGTGTTCAGTTCCCTTTGCAGAGTTTCTGTTAGTTTGCAGGTGGAGTACTTAAAACAGTAGTAGTTAAATATAGTATGTATTTCCTAAGAAACCTCCCTGTTCCAATTGGCATGCCTAGATCTTCATTCTGGCATTCCAGCATTGCTATTTTAATAGAGAAATGAAGATTGAGAATGTTTTTCATATATCTTGGACATTTTTTGTTTAGGCATCATACTGAGCATTAGAATTTTGTAATCACTTCAGCTGCAATTAAAAACACAAAGGAGAGAAATAGTTGTTTAGATCAAGGAGGAAATTGTGCCATAAGTATGGATTGCTAGCTTTTTTTCTTTAAAAAGTTGGCAGCTAAAAATAGGGAGCACTTCCCTGAGCTGTCTCTCAATTCCCAGTGAAGTGGGATTTCTGAATCATATATGCATTCAAATAGCATGCAAGAGGGCGAGTTGGCAGAGAGGAAAAAGAGATCTTCTAATGTGTCCTTTGCTTATGTTTACTAGTGGTATTATCAGTGTGAGAGAATGAAGCATGTTGCTTATAATAAAAACTGATTTGCCTAAATAAAGTGTAAAAATGTTGGAAGAAAAAAATGATACTGATTCCCAGCTGATGAAATCAGAGCCTAAAACAGGTTAGGAAGAACATCTTCTATCAACTTCACTCTTGTTGGAAGTCATCATGTTCAAAGATGTCTTTGAGTAATCTTACTTTTGTAGGAGGAGGTAGAAGAGCGCTGGTAGGCAGTGAATACCCTCCTATTCTAGGTATAGCCCTCTCGATTTTTTAAAATTAATTTTTAGTATTAATGTTTAATTTCCTATAAATAAAGTTCAATGGACACATTTATAGATTTCTTGCTTTTCACAGAATGGACTATTGTGAATAGAAAATTTATGCCAAAAATGGTGACAAAATACTAGTTATGTAAATCTGAAAGTGAGACATTGATTTCTAAATCTGTGAATTTTATGCTTTCATTTATTTTCTCATTAATTTCTATGCGATCCTACTTTTTATTATAGGAGTGAATAATTTGGAAGGACAGTACAACAAAATAGCAATTCCCAATGAAGAAAATGTGGTCATATACTACAAAATCCGACAGCAGCTTGCAAAACTGGGTAAAGAGATTGAAGAATATGTTCACAAACCAAAGTATTGCTTGCCTTTTCTACAGCCAGGAAGACTGGTAAAGGTAATTTGATTTTTCTTTTGTTTTGTTTTTATTTCAAATCTCTACCTATCTGTGAATTTTGCAGGGTTTGCTTGTGTCTGCCAGTTTACCACCATGAAAAATTACATGCAGTGCACTAAGCGACAATTTTGACTTCGTTATGTTTCTTTGTTAAACATTCAACAATGAATTAACAGAAATACTGTTTTCATGATGAGTAATAGTCCATGGCTGCTCCACATAAATACTAGAAATACAAAAAGATAGACTTGCTAGGATGTGATTATACGTGGGTTATGTTATAACATCTTGTAATATTTTCAGGTGAAGAACGAAGGTGATGACTTTGGATGGGGAGTGGTTGTTAATTTCTCTAAGAAATCGAATGTTAAGGTAAAATATACATTCTCTCCATTGGAAAAATGTACCTCACTGATTTTTCTGAAAATAAGATAAAACTCCTATATTCTTTGTAGTTTCCAAAGGCAAAAAAATTGTCCTATCATCCCAAACTTACAAAGCACTTAGGTCTTCCTGAAGTGAAAGTAAAAAGAAAAAAAAACTGTGGAAGGTGTGACAAACCCTAAGTCCTGTGTTCATTTATTTTAACTTTTGGCATATTGGTGGAGGAAATGCTTGCTCGTGTCTGGGATAAGTAGTTCAAAAGAGCACTTGGCACTACAAACGTTTCAAACTAGTTTGTTTCTGAGACATCCCCAACAGTGCTTACACTAAGCCATTCATGGGAAAGGTAGTATGTTATCTACTCTCAGAAAATCTGTAGAAGCTGTCAGTGAGGGTTGAGAGTGTAGGGAGACTGACATTTGGCTCTACATAGAAGGTTATCTTAATTTAGGGAATTGTGTCTTGAGTCCTTAGCTAGTGCGTGAGACATGGGATTGCTTGTCCTCTGAGAGTTACTGTAGAGTTGAGGGCTGGGAAGTTAAAATACAAAGAAAGCAAAACAATAGGAATGGATTAGGGGAAATGTGGAAGAAAATACAGAGGGCAGTGAATACAGAAGGCAATAGAAGCTAGATTTGTTTTTCCTTCCCAAAACCCATTTTTATACTTGGTCTCCGCATAACCTCAGAGATGATGTTTTGGTCTCCCTTTCAGAAATGTTTTGACAGGCTGCTCTGCTGGCTAAATTAAAACCTAAGTTTATAGCGTATTTTTCTGTGGTAGCATTTTTGCTGTAATTTTGGCAGGAGAGCATTGGCATTAATTACTAGGTCTAAATGAGAAGTTGTCTTTGTCAAGTTCTGGTGGCCTCTGTACACTGTGGTACCTTTTGGTGCTTCTCTAATATATATTCATTAAAGAGGAAATGAGAAAAATGTGTGCGTAAAGAACTTATGAAAAGAGATTTTGTTTTGGTTTTCTGTCTTCCTTTTGAAAATTACATTTCTTTCGTTTTTTAAGTTGAAAAACTGGACTGCTACTGCCATTGCTTAAACTTTTGCTTCTAGATGGCTTTTTTCATAGAGCCACATGAGCAATAAAATTGCCAACTGCTGGGTCACTGGAGGCATTTCTTCTATCTGTGTCATATTTTATCCACATACATATTTGCCTTCCCTATGTGGCCTTTCTCACTGTTGTATAAAGCTTTTACGTTTGAACATTAGTTCTGAAATTACGGTCTGTTCTGCAGGAGATGGCTCTGGCTCCAGCAGCACTTTTTTCATTAAGTCATTCTAACAGCTGGGTTGAATTTTTCCTTCTCAGTTCTATGGAAAGAATGACAATAGGTGCTGAAAATTATGGAACAACTTAAAGCTATGTAACTTTTAAAGTCGGTATGGAAGGACTATTTCTATGAGCAGAAGCAGAACAAGTGACTTGAGGAAGCTGTTATTTACCCATTTCAAAGTGTCTGTTCAATGCATTTTTTGTCCTGGGATACAGATGCATTTTCCTGTTACTGTTTAATGTAGTAGTATACTTCCTTAGCATTGGAAATAGATCACTATTATGCCATGTCTTTAAACCTTCATCTGCTTCTAAGCAGTGACAGTTCTTTGGACTTGCTTTTAGAAATGATGTTGAATTAAGCCTATATTACTAGTTTTTTTCTTTAGTTGCAAATTTTTCTTCACTGTATCATAGATTCTAATGAAGCCCTTTTGCTAGTGAGGAATGTATGTAATTAAGATTGACATTTAGGGTTGCAAATTACTGAGTTTGGGTTTACATTTAGAGTTACTAGAATTACTGAGTAATTCTCTTTACACATTGTGATGTGAAAACAAAAGCATGAGTCATTGTCAGTTATGTTCATTGTTAATTATATTTAGATGTTTTTCCAGCATAATTTCAATGATACAGTGTTCCACAAAATTGTGAATGCAAATAGCACTTTATCCTGAATTACAGTAGACAGAAGAATTTATTTCAAGCACTGGTCCTTGCTACATGCTACACAGTATAGTAGGCAGCAAAGTAACTATTTGCTTTGGAATTCATTAAAAAAAAAACCAAATATTTTTGAATAAGAAATTTTATTTCCACTAGCTTATGCCAGCAATATGCTGGTTTTATTGTTGTGCTGTTTATAGTCCATATTGTAATCTTACCCCTGATTCTAGGCATGAAATTTTTTTCTGTGAATAGTTATTGATACTAAAAATTTGAGCTGCTGCAATTTGGTCTTCCTTATTTAGATTATTATAATCCTTGTATATTAAACTTAAATGTATGTATTTATCTGTTCATAGTTATTTATAGTATTTACTACATAAACATCGTTTTTAGTGGTGTGTCATGGTCATTGAATTTTCAGTCTGTCTGATAATACTAATCTGGGAATTTGAATTTGTTCTCTCTGCCATATTTCTTGATTTGCAGATATGATCAGCTGTCTTACCTTGTTTTGTTCTGAGGCACATGAAGTAATAGATGTTTCAGGGCAAATCTGAAATCCTTGGAATACACACAATCATGCAATATTCTGCTAAAGAGGGAATTGATGCAGTGTGAATCAAAGGGTCATTCAAACTTGATATGACAGAGATGTCTGTGACTAATAAATTTTTACAACGTGTTCTAGTCTCTTGCATATAAAACATGGCTGTTCCTGTTCAAGAGTTTAGTACCTAAAATGTTGTAGGAAACACACTGAAGGAAATGGTTTTTTGAAAAACTGCACTCAAAAAGCAGTTCTAGGTTAAGTCACATCTGGTCAGCATTGTCTAAAAGCCATTGTTACACATAAACTTATGGAGAGTAATATTAGCAGCGAATATTAATTATATTTATACTGCTGCTTTATAATAGGTTTACAATGCAGTTACTGATAGAAACATTTTTTTCCTCTCATAATTTTCTAGATATCTCCAGTTCTAGTATCATCTGTAGCATGTGTGTGCAACTATGAGTTTAGTCTCTTCTTTGTTCAATTCAGCATGATGCTTTCCCTGGCGTTGGCTGGATACTGATTTGATACCTGTCCATATTTTAAAATTCCAATTCAAAGGACGGCAGTGGTATGGGTCTTGTACATGGCTGTGAGTGCTTTCTGCAAATGTATGGTAGAAAATTCAGAGTAGTTTCTTCTCCAGCAAGTAATTGCATTTCTTGAAGAAACTACGTATCTTGTTGAACAGGACAACCGTGTTTTTCTGTTTAATTTACTATGGCAGTTTCTCATAGTACTTCTGAGAATCTTTAGAAATGCTACCTGGCTCCACCCCACTTTGCATACAGTGAAAGAAAATAGTATGTTGTAGATTTGTAATGAAAAATATTGCCCAGTAAAACTGAACTGAGTTAACATGGGATTTTGAAAAGACTGTTCTCTCTTTCTCACTCTCTTGCATTTGGAAGCTTGCACATAGCATTTTAAAAGATTATGTCTGTCTTCAGTGTTAGGCCTATAACGTAGCTCTGTTCAAAGTCAGAAAAGTATTTACTTATAGTAGGAGCATATTTGAGCAACCTAGTGCATATTGATCCAGTCAAATAACTATCATCAGGTGTTTTCTTTAAAACAGTATCTAATAATGATTATGGCTTTGTGAACAATAGTCTTTAACCACCATATCTGCATGTTTGTGTTCTCTAAATGAATGTCAGATATTACGTGGGCAGTTTGGGGTGTATAAAGATGTGGCCTGCAAGATGCAGCTTCCTGTTTGCTGCAGATACAAGCTGTTATGCCTCAAAGATTTTTCTGTGGTCTTTATTGTGGGGAAAAGCTTGAACTTGCAAACCTGCAAATGAAAGAAATCCCCCATATTTTATGTCGTTTTTTAAAAAAGGCAAAGTTCAATACTGCTCGCATGATGCAAATATTTTACATTACAGTTACAAAAGATGTTGGCTTACATTGAAAGAGCTGTGTGTAGAAGGCAGGAGCATCTAAGCTGCAAGTAGACTTTAGGCTACACTGGCAAGGGAGGATGGGGAAGGGGTAATTTTTTCAAGTGTCTTTTTCTGTGTGAGGGGTCTTTCAATCAATACCGATTCAATAGTTTTTAGAATGTACTGCATCACTGAGCTAATACTCTGTGAAGAGCAGTAGCTCATTTCATACCTTGAATACTGAATAAAATCATGCTTTTTCCTTCCTTTCTTGCTGATATTTTAAAATAACTGCTATGGACCTGTTTTTTGTGTGCCCTCCACAGCCAAATTCTGGTGAATTGGACCCATTATATGTAGTTGAAGTGCTACTGCACTGCAGCAAAGAGAGTTTGAAAAATTCTGCTACTGAGGCTGCAAAGCCCGCCAGACCTGATGAGAAAGGAGAGATGCAGGTTTGTTGCAGATGTTTATTCTCAATAATTTCTTATAAGTGTTCTCAAAGATTCTATTTTGAAAGAATTTGCGAACTATAATAAAAGAGGGATTGATGCATTAAGGAAGAGAAAGGAGCTGTGCACCTAAGTCTGCTTTCTTAAACAGTTGCTGATTTCACTGAATAGGAAACTTCCAAGTGTGAACAAAACACTTGAGTGAATTTGTTACCATATACGGAGTGCTTTGAAACTTACTATTGTGTTCTATATTCCAAATCAGTAGATGAAAGACAACAGCAGTAATGTAACAAAGTTACGAAAATGACCATGTATGTGATAAAATCTGCAGATAAACAAGTATAGGCTGTCTTCTGTCTCTGGAAACAGAATTTTTTTTTTAATTTCCTTCTCTTTTTCAGATCCTTTCAGCTTTGTGAGCCTCTCTCATTCTGAAATTAAATTGAAAGTTTTAGTGAAAGCATTTGCATTATTTAAAATTTTCAATTTGAGACCATATATCAAGACAAACAATTATAATTTTCATATCAGAGACAGTTGTTAATTTGTCCACATGTTTTTTTCAGAAAGTCTATTTAAAGCTTGAGATACAGTATTGATTCTTCATGGTGTCTCTATGGTTTGATACTTAGAGAATATCAAATCAGAAAACACATATTTCTATTGTTAGCATTCCTAGTTAAACATCTGACAATAATTTTCCTGATTTGGATCATAAGAGGTACTCCAGTAGATAAGAGGCAAGGTAATAGAAAAACTGAATTTTTTTTTTTCTCCACTTGTAGCCTCTCTCCAGATTTAACCAAATACAGAATCTTCCCATTTGGACAAACTTACTTTTCTTCTTTATTAATACTTCATCTCATTACCCACATTTTCTTGCTTCCTGATACTTCTTCACCCACTGCTGTGTCCTTGTATACTCAGTTTTCCTTTTCCTTTGTAAAGTTTTGCTACAGAACAGTAATAATAAATATATTTTCTACTGATTTATCAGTTAATGCACTCTCTTTGATAGGTTGTTCCTGTTTTGGTACATCTTCTCTCAGCTATCAGCAGTGTTCGACTTTACATACCGAAAGACTTGAGGCCTATTGACAACAGGCAAAGTGTGTTAAAATCTATACAAGTAAGTTCCACTAGGCTGTATCAGCTCACTGCTCTGATTAATGAGGTACTCCTGAATCCAGGACAACTTGTTCTAAAGATACTTGTCTAAAGCTTGTGTCACATCTTCAGCCTTATTCTTAAAAGGGGTTGGAAATCACGATGTATGTCATTTCTCTATGTCAACAGTCATTTTAAACTGATTTTTAAAACAGCTGAAACATCACATAACAAACTTAGACTACTGCCTTCTGTATAGTTGTGCCAGCTGGTTTGTAAAAGTATAGTTTATTTTACTGGTACTTATCTTGCCAAATTTTTTTTTTTTTCTTCTAGGAAGTACAGAAGCGATTTCCAGATGGAGTACCACTACTAGACCCCATTGATGACATGGGCATCAAAGATCAAGGACTGAAAAAAGTAATCCAAAAAGTAGAGGCATTTGAGCATAGGATGTATTCACATCCTCTTCACAACGATCCCAACTTGGAAACCGTATACAAACTTTGTGAAAAAAAAGCACAGGTAAAAATACAAACCAGAACACTGTATCTATATGTAGCTGAAAAGAGAGATAGTAATAGTTCCTTCCTTATTTGCTTTTCTTTTTATTTGCAAAGCCCAAATAATACTTTTTAAATTAATGAGCCAAAAAAAACCCTTTTTAAATTAATGAGTCCAAATAATCCTTTTTAAATAGAGTAAAATTATTGAATCTCTTTAACAAACTGGCTCAGTCGGTGGTATGCCCTTGATTGATACAGATGGGATGTACACCTGAAAAGAAAACTTCCTAAAAAGCCATCAGGGCGTAGAGGTTTGTAGAGATACCATTAGAGTCTTTTTCACTGAATAGGCATAGCACAGTATAGTGTAGGTAAAGTCTTCACAGGTAATTGAAACTGATAATTTTTGATATGCTTGTGCAGAGCCAAGCTGAATAGGTGGGTCTTATTAGTTTGGGGAATATACCATACAAATCATGGTGCTGCTGCTTCCTGAGCTGACTCCCAGCCGGGAAGCAATACACTTATTTCATAGAATCATAGAAAGTTTGGGTTGTAAGGAACCATGAAAGGTCACCTAGTCCAACACCCCTGCAGTAAGCAGGGACATCTTCAACTAGATCAGGTTGCTCAGAACCCTGTCCAATCTGACCTGGAAGGTTTCTGGTGCTGGGGCATCAACCACCTCTCTGGGCAATCTGTGCCAGTGTTTCACCACCCTCATTGTGAAAAATTTCTTCCTTAGATCTAGTCTATATCTATCCTCTTTCAGTTTAAAGCCATTACCCCTTTTCCCATTGCAAGAGGCTCTGCTAAAAAGTCTATCCCCATCCTTCTTATTGGCCCCCTTTAAGTATTGGAAGGCTGCAAGAAGGTCTCCCTGGAGCCTCCTCTTCTCCACGCTGAACAACCCCAATTCTCTCAGCCTGTCCTCATAAGGAGAGGTGTTCCATCCCTCTGATCATTTTGGTGACTCTCCTCTGGACCTGCTCCAGCAGGTCCCTGGGCTCCAGAGCTGGACACAGGACTGCAGGTGGAGGTCTCACTGGAGCGGAGTAGACTGGGAGAATCACCTCCGTCTGCTGGCCACGCTTCTTTTGATCCAGCCCAGGATACAGTTGGCCTTCTGGGCTATGAGCACACATTGCTGGCTCATGTGCAGCTTTTCATCCACCAGTACCCCCAAGGCCTTCTTGGCAGGGCTGCTCTGTCCCTCCATCCCTTCATCCCCCAGCCTGTATTGATACTGGGCGTTGCCTTGACTCAGGCGCAGGACCCTGCCCTTGGCGTTGTTGAACCTCATGAGGTTCACATGGGCCCATTCCTTGAGCTTGTCCAGGTCCCTCTGGATGGCATCCGTCCCTCAGGCGAGTCAACCACACCAGTCTGCTTGGTGTCCTCTGCAAACTTGCTGAGGGTGCACTTGATCTCTCTGTCTATGTCACTGATGAAGATATCAAAGAATACTGGTCCTAACACAGACCCCTGAGGGACACCACTCATCACCAGTCTCCATCTGGATGTTTGAGCCATTGACCACTGCTGTCTGGATGCGAACATCCAACCGATTTCTCCTGCACCGATCAGTCCACTCATCAAATCCATCTCTCTCTGATGTAGAGAGAAGGATGTTGTGGGGGACCGTGTCACAGACCTTACAGAAGTCCAGAGTGACAACATCCATAGCACTTCCCTTGTCCACTGATGTGGTCACTCCATCATAGAAGGCCACTAGGTTGGTCATGCAGAACTTACCCTTGGTGAAGCCATGCTGCCTGTCTTGAATCACCTCCTTGCCCTCCATGTGCCTTAGCATAGCTTCTAGGAGGATCTGCTCCATGATTTTGTCAGGCACAGAGGTGAGGATGACAGGTTGGTAGTTCCCAAGGTTCTCCTTACTACCCTTTTAAAAAGGGGTACATTGTTTCCCGTTTTCCAGCCACAAGGGTCTTAACTGGACTGCCAGGACTTTTCAAATAGCATGGAGAGCGGCTTGGCAACTATATCAGCCAATTCCCTCAGGACTCTGGCATGCATCTCATCAGGTGCCATAGACTTGTGGACGTTCAGGTTCCTCAGGTGGCCCTGAACCTGATCTTTTCTTACAATGGGAGGGACTTTGCTCCCCCAGTCCCCATCTTGCAGTCCATGCCCTCAACAGATGTGGGGAGAGAAGTGAAGACTACCAGTGAAGATGGAGGCAAAGAAGTCGTTGAGTACCTCAGCCTTCTCCTCATCGGTTGTTATCAGTTTGCCAGTCTTGCTCATCAAGGTCAAGCTTTCCTTGATCTTTGTTTTCTGGCTGACATACCTGTAGAAGCCGTTCTTATTATTCTTTGCTTCCCATGATGGGTTCAGCTCCAGCTGCGCCTTGGCCTTCCTGACCACTTTCCTGCGCAACCAGGCAGCATCCCTGTACTCATCCCAGGATACCTGTCCCTGCTTCCACTGCTTGCACATTTCCATCTTGCCCTTTAGTTTGATCAGCAGGTCTCCACTCAGTCATGCCAGCCTCTTGCCTTCCTTTCCTGATTTCTCACACGTGGAGATCGAGAGCTCTTGCGCTCTATGGAGAGCATCTTTGAAGATAATTATTTTCTACATAGTCATACCCTGCTAGACTGAAACTGATTGCGCACAAAACCAGCTCTTGTGTTTCTCTGCTGCTTCAGAAAACAGGTTATTCAGGAGTCGTTTCACAGAAGTGATGTAGTTCTGGTATGGGCAGCACAAAGCTGTATGTGGTAAGACCTGATGGACGAAGCAGACTTTTACGAGGGTGTCTGGTACACCCTGCTGTCAGGATGTTGGCAGTGACTGTGATAAACTACAAGACACTGGAGAAGCTCTAACAGTAGGAAATAATGCCTTTGGGTTACATTTGATTGAATAGTTGGTTAGCTGAGACTTAGTGCAGGTCTTAGAAGATGAGTGCTCATTTCTCAACTAAAGATTTTGTTGTTTTTTTGGTGTGCGCTCGTTGGGTTTTTTCCCACACTCTGGGTAAAGACCTTAACTTCCCAGACTTTCCAGAGTTTCCTATCACAGAATCACTGAATCACTAGGTTGGAAAGGACCTTCAAGATCATCAAGTCCAACCATTAGTCCAGCACCACCATGTCCCCTAAACCATGTCCTGAAGCGCCACATCCACACGTTTCTTGAACACTTCCAGTGTTCATGGTAAATGGAGCTGATTTTTTTGTTTGTTTTTGTTTTAAACCTTCCTTTTAGTAGAGTTAGATGAGTCCGTGTCAACTAGTATGTCCATATACTGTGATTTTGAGCCCTTTATGTAAATGAACCAATGTCTCTGAAACAGTTGCATCTGTTAAACCAGCAACATGTAATTTCTCTCCTTCTGACCCTCCAGATTGCTATGGACATTAAAGCAGCAAAGCGAGAACTGAAAAAAGCCAGAACTGTGTTACAAATGGATGAACTCAAATGCCGCAAGCGTGTTTTGAGAAGGCTGGGGTTTGCCACATCTTCAGATGTTATTGAGATGAAAGGACGAGTTGCTTGTGAAATCAGCAGGTAATTGGTTTCTATGCAAAGTGATTATTGTCATGAATACACACTTCAGTGTCCTTGCTGAAATTAGTATATCATGTTTGTATTTTAAAGTTTTGAGACCATTAGAAGAAAGATTCTTCAGAGATTTGTGTCATAAAAGGAATATATTATTGAAGCAGTAAAGATAGCAACATAAGGACAAAATGCAATAGATTTTAAAACTGAAACATGGACATGAAAATGCTGAAACAATGGTTATTTTCTTACATAGCTTAGGCAACAGTGTGCGTTTTCATTCAATACTGTACATTACATGATAGGATAGTCTGAGTTTCTATGGTTCCATTTCGCAGGACTCTTAGTACAGAGTCACTCACAAACAAGGGCGTAATGGTGATTGTCAGCAATTACCAAGTTACTGACAAGTTTGGAATACAACTTAATAGCTTCCACAGGGCTGTTGGAACAAATCTATGAAGTGATGCATTTTACTGTAATACATTTAGCGGGTATGTATATATTAAAACATATTGTCAATATTCCACGGAAACTCATGAATCAGACTTTAATACTTCAGAGTGTAACTCAGATTTTGGTAAATCGTGTATTTTTTAAAGTTACAGTAACTGCTGTACTCCTTGCCTTATAGACAGTTTGAAAGATACTGCCTATAATTGTTCGATAACTAATAACCTTTTCTCCTGCAAAATTTGATAGCAAATGGGGAAGCTGAATCAGAATTTTATCAACTTTCTGACTTTCATGAACTGCTTGATGATGAGTTACATTTCCCTTTGTAAGAGAAAAAATTTACTTTTTTCCTCCCATCCTATGCATTGGTCTGATAAACTCCAAAAATAAAGGTGCAGTGTTATAAAAAATGTGATGTTTTATCCAAATAGCATGTTTGGATTTTGTATCCACATCATGCACTCCCTTTTATAATTAATGATTTAAGTCTTTATTCTAGAAGTAAATTGAAGTACATTTGTTCCTCTTTTCAGTATCTTGGAAATATCCAGTTGAATCTTCTTTGAGCAGCAGCAGCAGTACCAATTTTAGTCCTTTTCATAAGTTGCCTCACTCTCTGGTACTTCTCAATCTCTTGATGTCCTGTCTGATGAAAACTGTCTAAAGCAACTGTTAATACTAACTTTTATGAACTATCGGGAGAGATCCTTTGTAGTTCAGTAAGAGATTTTAGTTTCTTTAAAATACTGTCTTACTCTTTTACTTATTAGCATCCCCCTTAAAAAGCTAATATATTAGTATTTGGTGTTCCCATTAAAAAAATGAAGAAGCTATTGGTTCTTATCTCTATCCAGTTGCTTCACAAAACAGATGAATAGTACTTAATTTTAAAATTGCAATTCAGTAAGTCTTTTCCCTAAGCTTCCTTCTCTTTATTTTAGTGCTGATGAACTACTCCTGACAGAAATGATGTTCAATGGTCTCTTCAATGACTTATCTGCAGAACAGGCAACTGCACTCCTAAGCTGTTTTGTATTTCAAGAGAATGTGAGTTACGTCTTTAATTCATGAATTCTAGACATTCCTGTCTACCAACAGTATTTTTTATAATTCAGTTCCAGAAATTGGCCATAACAGTATGAGCCATTGCACATTTTTTATCCTTTCCTAAGGTGTTTGACATGAACTCCCATTGAACTGACCTAGCTTCAGTGCTAGAATATCTTTATTCATGAGTGGCGTGCCAAAGGTTCTGTAAAATTACAGTCATCGTAATGAATCTACAACTGTTTCCTCCTCATGCAATGAAGCAATATTAATAGATTCTCAGCATACATGCTTGTATTTATGCATATATACACACATCCTTGTAATTTAAAATGTAGAATTATTATTTCAAAAAAGAGGCTTAACATTATCTGCTCCTACACTCCGGGGTGAGGGTGTCTTCAATTCTGAGACATGCCCATGTTATGTTATTTGGACAGTACCCTTGACCTATTATTGGAAATGGCAGTACCACAAGGAACTGATGCCAAAAGAGCTGTTAAAAAAAGACCATATGTTATTGAAAGCAAAAATATGGGCATTTAATACCAGATGCTGTTTTTTTTCCCAGCAACAAACTGTAGAGAAGTTTAGTGTCATCAAGAAAATACAGAAAAAATAAACTTCCATATGAAATATTACTGCAGATAGCTAGCAAGATGTATCACTCAGGTTGATTCTAAGCGTAGCAAGCACATTAGGAGCAGATGCTAATTAATTACTTTTGTTAGTAGAAGGTATGCCAAGGTAAGCCATTGTTAGAATATTGTGGTTCACTTGACAATAGTACTCGGGGCTAAACAGGTAGGACATAAAAATGTTGCTGTATTTGAATAGCTTTTCTACATAAACACTGATGTGTTTATGTACAACATACTTTTGTACATAACACTGATGTTTAAGTTATTGAAATGATTTGCTTTTTCTGTTCTTAAAGGAAAACTTGTAACATTTAAAGTAGTACATGATCAGCATTTTGGCAGTTCAAAACTATGGAACAGCTAAATGGGGAATTTTGGAAGTATTCAGAAAGCAGGTGCTTTTTTTTCATACTGTTGGCATACTGTACGGGAAGGTTTCATTTTCTGGTTTAGTTTGAGGAACATGTACTTGGGGAATTCAGTTAATTTTAGTGTTTGAGAAGGCATTGGAATATTCATGATGGCCCTAGCACACACTGAACTTTTATTTTTGCATTTAATTTGGTGTAGAGCAAATGTATGGGAGCGCATGAGATTATTTAATGTCATCTTTTTCAGTCCAGTGAAATGCCAAAATTGACAGAGCAGTTGGCAGGACCCCTTCGGCAAATGCAGGTAATCTCTCCCTTAGAAATCTGTCTGAGCTCAGGGCTAATGTTAACATGAGTAAAGTGTATGAGTAAAGTCTTATAAGTGCATGGTGAAGACTTGATTTTGGATCATCAGTGAATTTGGCTGACACTGCATGTGGTTTTGCAGTGTGTAATAATGGGTTATCTTATTTGCAAGAAATCTTTTTGCTAATTTCAAACATACCTTTAAAAACTTTTATAAGCTTGCTTACTACACTGTAAGTTGTTCATGCAGGCAGACCTAATGTGAACAGTGGTTTACTTTCCGATTCTGAATTATTTCACACTAAAAAGGAAACCTCATCCTATATGTAGTACCTAATAACATGCAAGCTTTTCTATTGGTTGAACACTTAATCTGTTTAAGCATATTATAAATTTAAAATATTTCATTTTAAAGGAGTGTGCAAAAAGAATTGCCAAGGTATCAGCAGAAGCAAAACTGGAAATTGATGAAGAAAATTACTTAAATTCTTTCAGACCCAACCTAATGGATGTTGTATATACGTGGGCAAATGGAGCTAACTTTGCTCACATCTGCAAAATGACTGACGTCTTTGAAGGTATGTTAATCAGTTGTTCTTTAGGAGGTGTGAGATAGGAATACCATAGCATGGAATGGTAATTCTGAAAACCTTATAAGGGATCACAAGATTTACTAAATCAGATGTATTCAAGTATCTGCATGGCTGAAACTAAGTGGGAAGAAAATTACTACATATATGTTAATTTATAGTTACATTGTTGATAATTTAGAATCTATACAAGACTTTTTAAAAGGGATATCTTTGCATTTTAAAAACTCTCTATCAGAAATCCTAAGTAGTGCAACAAAAGGTAATGCTTACCTTTGCTAGCTAAAGGGAAAAATAATAGGGTTCCAAGGGTTCCAAATGCTTGCCATTAAGAAGTACAGCTCTTGTGCTTGTCCTCATTACAGTTAAGTGTTTTATTTACTTGGTAAATTGAAGATTCCTCCTGCTGTCCTAATGATGACAGAAGTGAGAGGTGGTAACCAAGTCTCTGTTCATCACAGCAGTGCAACGCAGGTATTTGAAAAGCCTAGATTTAACCCGTACCCTAGGTTAATTTGGTTCCTAACATTGGAGTATTAGAAACTGCCCCTTGAGGAAGAATACTTATTTTTCATTATTTTAAAAGTAGGATGACTTAAAGTCCAGCTGCTTTGTAAAAAGACAAACCATCCACCTGAATGTCAAACTAGAATGAAAAACCTAATTTCATCTTTTACCAGCTATGTTGAAAGTTGTGAAGAACAGTAGGATGGGTGCACCAGTCCTACGAGTCTGTGTGTAATGACTGATACTTGAAAATCCTTTTTCAAGTTGTTACCATCACCCTGGTCTTGCCTCTCTCAAATGCTGTTTTCTTGTTTGCACGTATACAGTTGCAAATGGGAGCCCTTAAAACAAAGGAATTGATGTACTTCTGTAATCCAATGCATAGACCCAGAAATTTTCTAAAGCAGGTTGCCTGTGAGCAACAAGAATCCTGGCAGTCTTTGATTCTGCATTCAGCAGATTCCTGTTATTGCAATGAATCTCTGAGCCTTACATATGCTGTAGACGCACGCTGAGTAAGCGGAATACAAAAGAGGAAGTAGCTGGCTTATGGTTTTTTTACATTGGCACTTGACTGTTCAGAATACACAGGGCAGTAACATTTTTCTATTTATCATATTTGGGCTAAGGCTAGCTGGTCAGCTTTGTCCTAGTCAACAGTACTAGCTCCCTCAAAATTAGATCTTGTGGGCCTGTTTTGAGAAGTTCAGCTCTTGTGGCAGGGGTTGATGGCACGATTCTTCCCTGAACTTTTAATAGGCTGGTTTTCTTTGCATTGTCTAAAGGGAGAAAAGCACTTCAGATGTCCACTCTCTGTTACGCTCACCTTAAAGGCAGAGTGGTGTTGCTAAATCCCAGGGGAGTTTGCCCTGGTTAGCCAACTTGCTATAGTGATTTCAAAGAAATCAAAAACCAGAATACAAAAAAACCCCAACAAAACACAAACCAAAACCCACAGCATCCTTATTTTGATCTTAAGTACAAATTTTCATTTTAGATGTTAGTGCTTCCTGTCTTAATCTTGATAGAGGTTGTTACCATGAGGTACAGCGTGGTGGCTCATTAAAGCTCGAAAAGGTGTATTTTCCTTTGCCTTTTGGACGATGTGGAATTACTTATAATGACTTGCTGCTGTTAACCAGGTGATCCAACTTCACTGTTGTGCACTAGTTCTAGTAAGGAGGCAGAAAATTGTCCAGCCATTAGAGAGTGCATTGGAAGCCACCACATTTTTAAACTATTTTTTCATCACTCTACTCCCCCTTGTAAAATTTACTACAGAGTGAGAGACTAATGTTCAGTTTTGTGTTGCCATCCAGGCTAACAGGCAGTAGCAGAACTTTTCTAGACAGAAACCCTGAGTCGATGGCATGCTTCCACTCTCACAAGCCTAAAGATACAGTGTTCTGCTATTTTATTGGTATTGATGGCCATGTGTCTGAAACTTTTTGGGTGCAGTTATGAGTAGTGTGAAAGCTTGTAGTTGTGTAAGTAAATGGCTGTCTTTTCAGGTTGCAGCATAAGCCTGAATGCTCCAAGAGCAAGTGTGCTTGCCACAGATTAAAGCAGTGGTGATTAGCTAATGAAAATGAGTTGTCCTTAAAATGAAACGTGTGTGTTGGGAAGAAATAGAAATTAGAGAAGCTTTTTAAAGCAGTAAGTAAAATGGTAAACTGAGCTAAGTGTGCTCTTAATAAATTGCAGGTCGATTGTTTTGTTTTGTAGAAGTATAGACAATATTAATTGCAAAAATGCAATTTTGTTCCATGCACACAAAAAAGTATGTCTGCAAGAACCTCAGCTACACTGCCTGTTAATGAGTACTCCCTGGAATGGTTGTCAGGGTTGGCCTTGTAAATGGAGATGAGCAGGATCTGTGAGAGCTGAGCCAGGACCCACCACAACACAGTGTGGCCATACTCAGGGGAGCTGCCTGCAGTGCACTTGCTTAGGCTTTGTGCTTTGTGTCCCGTAGACTCCATATGGGTTTTGTCACTTCATGTCATTGCAGTAGTTTCTACAGACTGCTGCCCTTACACAAACTATTCTTACAAAAACTGACATGGCCTACTTGTACCTGCAGATGTTTTTTAGAAGAGAAGTGTTACTTTACTTTTCCTCTCACTTTCCCAGCAGCTTTGTAGAATGTTCTTTTTGCATATGAACAAGTTTTTCTCCATATATTATGCTTTGTCTAGAGCTAGTATTTCACTGAATCATAGAAAGGCCATCTAGTTTAACTTCCTCTGCAACAAGCAGGGACATCATCAACTAGATCAGGTTGCTCAGAGCCCCATCCAACCTGACCTGGAATCTTTCCAGGAATGGGGCATCTACTACCTCTCTGGGCAGCCTGTGTCAGTGATTCACCACCCTCATTGTGAAAAATTTCTTCCATATATCCAGTCTAAATCTACCTTCTTTTAGTTTAAAACCATTACCCCTTCTCTGGTCTCAACAGGCTCCGCTAAAAAGACTGTCCCCATCTTTCTTATTGGCCCCCTTAAGTACTGGAAGGCTGCAGAGAAGGTCTCTACGGAGTCTCCTCTTCTCCATGCTGAACACCACCAACTCTCTCAGCCTGTCCTCCCAGGAGAGGTGTTCCATCCCTCTGATCATTGTTGTGGCCCTCCTCTGGACCCGCTCCAGCAGGTCCATGTCTCTCCTGTGCTGAGGGCTCCAGAGCTGGATGCAGGATTCCAGGTGGGATCTCACCAGAGCAGAGGGGTGGAGACCCCTCCCTTGACCTGCTGGCCATGCTTCTTTGGATGCAGTTGGGATGTGGTTGGCCTTCAGGGCTATGAGCACACATTGCTGGCTCCTGTGCAGCTTTTCATCCACCAGTACCCCCAAGTCCTTCTTGGCAGGGCTGCTCTGTCCCTTCATCCCCTATTATCTACCCTATTACTTTGCATACAGTAATTTTGACTGTAGGTGTGAGATGCTGCTGGAGGAAATGATTGCATGCTTCTAGAAGAGCATAAGCATTAGGGTCATTTTGTGAAACTTGTTACAGTGACTTGGGCTGAGCTGACAAGTAGATTAAAAGAGGAAATGAATACATAACAAACTTCAGGGGGTACTGGGTTGCAGTTTAGGAGCTATGTCAAGACTGAGCTTGTATGCATTACTGTAAGGATGCAATTGAGTGGCAGAATGGTCCACAGACTTCTGAAGGGCACAGGATTAGTAAGGTAGACTACTTACTGTCTCACTGCCTCTGTCAACTAAAGAAGTAAGGGCTACCAAAAAACAGAAAAATATAAACTCACCCCCACCCCCAAAACCTATGTGTGGTGGTTCTTTAAGCAGCAAACTTGTGAATCCCCTAAACTTGTATAGTTTCTGAGGGAAATCTTAACAAGTTATTGAAAGAAAAATCCACTAGGAATTACTAAATAGCCATCCTACTACTAGACACTGAGAGGCTGTGACAATAGTAGAAGAAAACAAGAACAGGACAAGCATTTGGAGACAGCTTCAAGGAAATGCCTGATGGAGAAATTTACTATTAAACAGAAACCAAGCTTAAGACATTCAGCTGTTCTTACTGTTGGCTTCTAGATAAATTGGAACAGGGTTGGAGAAGGAACTACTGCTTTGGTCCAAAGCAGACTCAAGCAACTGAATTATAAAGTGACATGATGTGGCAGGGGATACAAAGTTTTCCCTCACTGTTTTTATACAGGTAGCATAATTCGTTGCATGAGGAGACTAGAAGAATTGCTTCGGCAGATGTGTCAGGCTGCAAAAGCCATTGGAAATACAGAGTTGGAAAATAAGTTTGCAGAGGGTATGTATTTCACTTCGACAGTGTAAGAAGTAATTCTACAAAGCATATTAAAGGAAAATTGGGGCAGGGGTAGGTAGGGCAGGGTGTGGGTGAATGATCTGGTAATACAAGCTTCTGGTATTGACTTCATGGTAAACATCATCATTGCTCTCTTTCCAAATAACATCTATGTTATAAAGTTTGACTTAAAGAGGTAGTGTTTTGATGCATACTGACAGTTTAACCAGGTTTGTGACTGAAAATGGATATACAATGACTGCCAGTTAAGACTTGTAACACTTTCTCTACTGCACAGTACTACATTTCTGTAACTGTACTTAAAGTAGTGATTGTGTCAGTTATGACTGCTGGATATTAATACAGTTTTCCTTTTTAATAGGGATTACAAAAATCAAGAGAGATATTGTGTTTGCTGCAAGCCTTTACCTGTAACAGAAGATACCTTCTAAAAACATTACTAGATTCACATTATGGAGCAAGTTCATCAGCTTCACATGCTACGTCCATCTCAAGTCATTATTTTTTTTAATGGTGTGTATTTAAACCACAGTTGTTTCAACAAGGCATGTACAAACAGCAGTGTATGTAATATAACTGTTACTATGTTTCCAATAAGAATTTACAATTTGAATAGCTTTTTTTGTATTAAGCAAGAGCTTGAACCAACAGAAATGTAAAGTTTAGATACACAATAACTGTGGTAGCTGTTACTATATACAGGTAAAGTGAGCATCGAAGAGCAGCAGCAGTCCATTAAAGGCATTTACTTATATTACATAGTTAGACTTGTGAAATTCTTTTCCTTTCAGCGAGCAAGACAGGTGAGGTGGATCATTCTTCATGGTTGATGATTGCTGCCAAAGTGATTTCCATTTGTTGGAGTTTTTGTATGGGAATCTTCTTTCGGTTGAAATGTACATCCTCTCACTTTGAAGAAGTCAGACACGTACACAACCTAAGTGAACAAATTAGTGTTAAGCTCCTGCACTTGTAAGTCTTTGAAACAATGGGTAAATGTTTTTGCAGAAGGTAAATTCCACGCTCAAAACTAATAAAATGTTTAAGATTAAAACATTAGCAAATTGCTAACAAGTCTTGTATAAAATTCTGGCACCTGTTCTTTCTTGTTATTCCCCCACCTTCCATTGACCACTTAGCCACTGATGGCTTAACCCAAATTCAAGGCTTGTGTGCTAACTAACTGCTCTGCCTGCCTTATCAGGCACTGCTTCATTACAATAGCCATAACACAACTCTCAATGAAGGGGCAAGATATGCTTGCTCAGGGCCCACATAGCATGTATGGTTGAATTCATTGTGTAATTTATTTACAACAGGACAGGAGAGCTTGTGCTTCAGCTGAGGAAGGGGGTTCAGTTAGTAACTATTATTGTCCGGAGTATCACTCTCACTTGCATTTCTTTAAAAGCTTTCTAAACCAAGCTTGGATTCTTCTCCTTAGGAAGGCTCACAGCAGCTCCCTCTCCAATACATGTGTCTCACCTGCAGCTCCAGCACCTCTAAGGCCAACTCTACCTACATGATCCTTTCCTGCATTCCTTTGAACATACCACCTTGCTTCCTTCACGGCTACCGACTACAAGACAGGTGCCTTGATCCAATTCTGCAGCCTGCTGTCTTACTGCTGCCCACTTCACAAAGTCATACTAGTAGACATGCAGGGTACATGAAGCGCTACATGAAGTGCAGTAAATGAGAAGCCTTCTCTCATGATCCGTTCCCTCCCTACATCACCTCTTCCCCTCCCACTGCAAACCCAAGAACTGCAGAACTGTTTAAGGCAGCAGAAGAAACCATCTTCCACACTGAGGGGTGGCTGATGATGCAGCATGCTGCTTCATCTGCATACCCGATGAGTTTCAGCTTCCATTTAATGCTGAATTCACTCACCCCAGTTTAGTGCTCCATTTGCAGTTGCTGCCCTAGCGTACTCTTACTTCAGCTTTCTGTTTCTGGAGATGAATTCTTCAGCTCTTTCAGATAAGGGTTTTGTTTGGGAGTTTTATTTTTAAAAATAATTTCCTCACCTTTCAACTCTGTTCACTGTAATGCCACCTTCTGCTCATGTTTATATTATCAGGCATCTCTAAGATATCCTCTCAATCATCCAACACCCTCCACTAAACTTGTTTTCCTAATAAAAGTGCCCTCAGCTCTTCAATCCCTGATGTTTCTTACTCCGTGCACTTCTTTTCTTAGCAAATGAGATTGTACAAAAATGAGGGGTAGGATTATGTTTTGGTCAACATGCAGCCATTTAATAACAGCTAATGCAGTATATAGGGTTTCCCAGAGCTCCTCCAAGATTTGGTTTTGATGATTTATTGCAACAAGTAGACAAAGCTTTGTCTTGAAATGAACCATAACCTTTTGACATGCAGCTGAGAAAGCATTTATCTTGGAGGTGGCTCTTCCAGGTGAGCCTCAGTTCTTGGTAACTGAATTCTTCAGTATGACCTAAGTTAACTCATGTCTCTGAACCAGAAGTTTCTTTGATCTGTCCTTTCCCCATGATGAATCAAGCATGGCACTGGCACTCTGGTTAACAGCCAGCACAACTGCTGCCACTAAGTCAAACCAGGCCTGCAGCTCCAAGTTTAGCTGATGTTCTGTTCCTTGAGATAGCTTTTCACTCATCTGTACAGCTAAGCTTCACATGCTGGTTGTTGTGAACACCCTTTTAGCACTCAAATGCATGCAAGAAATGGTGAAAGGTTTTAGTTTCCCATCAGACTGAAAAAGCAGGCTGTATAAGCTGGCAGAGGCAGACACTTTCATGCTGTCTTTATTCTTAAAGGCCTTTTTTCTGCCCTGCTTACCTTGTCTACAAGTTCTCCTCTGCTATTGTACTTGAGATTTAGAATTTAGCTACAAGCAGAAGATATGGTTATATAGAGGCCCACATGGTGTTGCAGTTGACTGCTTCCATCGCGGTTATTTGAAAAGCTCTTGGTCAGGGACAATTTCATGTTGTCACACAGCTGAAACAGCCACTTATCTCATCATTGGCCCAGAGTCTGCCTCACTCCTCAAAGTACTCTTGCTACACCCTGTTCAAGGAGTTGTTTCCCCTCTCCAACAGTTTTCAAAGCATTAGGAAGACAGGTCTGCTTTCCTCTGAACATAGCCTGCAGTTCTGAGGTGCTGTTTATAAAAGCAGCGTTCACACAGACCCACACCCCACCCCTCAGGAATTACTTACAATGAGCACAGCTACCACTGCTCCCTGAATGAGTCCTGTTAAAACATCACTCCAGTGATGCTTGTAATCAGAAACACGTGAGAGACCCACATAGATAGATGCAGCAATAAGGCCAAATTGTAGAGTAGGACGTACAAGTCTTGCCCAGTCTCCTTTCATTCTGGCCTGAAGGTAAAGCTAAAAGGAAAAGAAAAATAGGTATGAAATGCAGTGAATACAGAAGCAGTAATCACATAAAATTGTGTTGGGTCTGTCAAAGAGTTGAAATTCGTGTTCGGAGACATGATAATGTCCAAGTGTTATACCCTCATAAGTAAGCTAAGGTGGAGTTTGATAGCCAGTGTTGGTCTTTATGTCTTATATAAAACTGCGTAACACCATCATGCAGATACTTGCTGTATTTGTACCAGTGTGACAAATAACTATTTTCAGGATAAAGGTAGTGGTAATACCAGAGCCACATAAGTCTTAGAAAGAATCCAGTGGAAGTCAAACCACTACTCCTGCATTAACACAAAAAAAGTGGCTGGCAACCATGCAAATTTACAATCTTCTGAATACGGGGAGCCCTATCTTGTTCTGAGCAGGAAGACCATTAACATCTTTAGTAAATTTACATAGAGCTGATGAGTTTTTAACATTATTCTCAATTACAGTCACCTTTAGTACTATAAACTTTTACCATAATATTCCAGCTGTAGTTAAGTGTCAGAACTTGATATAATGATTGATAACATCTGGGATCAAATTCCTCAGTTGTCACTGGTATACTTCACTGAGCTACATCTGTTCCTAGTCCTTTTTAGCTGCGTATTAACCATGTTACCATTCTGGTAAGCAAGTGGGTATGTGCAGTTCCCATGCTTTTTTCTCTCCCCTCAGCTCTGTTGAAGTTGTATATATCTCTGCTTTTGATGTGTTATCTCAAATTCACAGTATTTAACTCTGTTACTTTCCCATCTAATTTAAGATCCTGCTTTTGTCTCCTTCTCTGGTCTGTCTAGGACAGAGACCTCTTATTTCACCTAAGAGGAGCTTCTCCAAATCCACCTTGTAAACATGATTGAATTTATTCTGGAACTTGATCCTGTCACCAAAAACGGCTCCATAGTTACTGTACAGAGAGGAACAATACAGTTGGAAGTTATATTTAACATTTCAAGTATATCTTTTCAGTACCATCTAGGAACTTCAGGTCGAGTACAAAACCTTAATTGTCAGTCTGCAAAATTGCTCAAGTTAACTGAAACACAGGCTTCAGGCACTATGACAAGCATGCTAAATGTCTGGTAAATCCCTTCATTGCCAACTTCAAAAGCCATGGCTACCTTTTAGAAGCATTACATTTACAATAGAGGCATAGAGCATGCGCTGTAGATGCAACAGTGCTACTTTCCAAAGTTAAACATTCGGGGAATGTTTGGTTGGCTTCTCTGAGTAACTTATATCATTATTTTGGCATGCTGACTTTTCCAGCTCTAAAGGGAGCATCAAGAAGATGAACCCTATCCGTAATAGGTTTCATTTAATAGCAAGATCAGGGTGAAATCAGACTCTGAAGAAGTGACAGCTAAGCCTGAACTGGAAAATAACTTTTTCCCCACTTAAGTGGTAGGCATTGCATTATTTCTGGGGACCTTAATTTCACCACTAGGGAAAATACTGCTTAGCCACTTTAAAATTTAGCTGTCACACGGTTCTTTTAACAAAAGGTGTTTTAACAGTCTTATATTAATACTACTTCTGGATTTACCAACGGTAGACCAGAGCACTACCTGAGTGCCAAATGGAGCAGAGGTGCATCCAAGGAGCACACAAGGAGCTCGTAGCCTCAGAAGAGCTGGCTGATGATTCGATA